ATGCTGCAGCTATTTCTTCCTGTCACGAGGGCTTCGGTGACAAAACAGTTCTTAATCACCCATTGATGAAGCGTTTCCTGAAAGGTGTACGGAGACACAGACCGGTGTCACGTCCACTAGCTTCACAGTGAGACCTAATGATTGTCTTGCATGCTCTGATCAAAGCTCATTCTGAGCCTTTAGATTAGGTTTCACTTTAATTTTCTGTCATTTTAAACAGCACTGCTGTTAGTTCTGATGTCGGCAAAGAGAGTGAGTGATTTATCTGCTCTCTCTGTTGCTCCCTCATGTCTCAGAATTCAAGCTGACGGCAGTTCAGCTGTACTGCGTTTTAAACCTTCTCTGAAAAACATCACAAGCTCATTCAGATCGAGAGTGATAACCTTGGATGGATTTTATCCTCTTCCTCATAATTCTGAGGAGGAAGCAACATCTCACCTCCTTCTGTCCCATACGTGCATTTTTCATGTTACGTGGCGCACACGGCCGCACTGCACCGCTTTCAGCGTATGTTCGTGCTTTATGGGGACAGCTCTTCAGGACGTCCTCTATCCACCCAGCGCCTCTCACACTGGTTGTGCGAGGCTATCTTAGAAGTAGGGCTGGACGATATGGCCAAAACTTTTATCACGATATATTTCTTAATTTTGGTCGATAATGATATAATTCGATATCGATATAAACAATATAAAAGCCTCAGAACAACTACAAACTATACAAATAAATTAATGTTCACCTTTTATTTGTATTTAGCCTTCAAAAACATTGAAATCACTGTCAAATAAACATAAAATTCTCAACTTTGTCAATATTAATAGTTTTAACTTCAAACAACAACTTTAAAATTGACAGCATTGAAATTCGTTGTTAATGAAATAAAAATTTTGGGTGTTGTTATTGATGAGAAGCTGACGTGAAAATTTCATGTAAAATACTTAAGAATAAAAACAACAATCAATTGCATTACTGTATAAAGTAAAAGAGTTTTTGAATGACAAAGCTTTGTATATATTGTATAATGTAATGATTGTTCCATATTTAATCAACTGTATTGAAGTTTGGGGAAAAGCAAAACAATTACAAATCCTATTTTTATTTTACAAAAAAGAGCTATAAGAATTATTAGTATTATGAAGTGCTATGGTCACCCAACAAATATATTATTTCATCAATTGAAATTATGAAAATGTTATGATTTGGTTGAATATAGTATTTTACAAGTCCTGTATAAAGCTCATATAAATATTAGCCCCAAATATTCAATTAAAATTAGTAAAAAATAAATATAAAAAAGGAGAGTCAATATAACCTTAAGGGAATGTAAATGTTTGTAAAACCTCCATTTAGAACTAGTGTGAAGGAGCTGTGTTGTAATTCAGGGAACAGGATTATGGAATTGTCTTGATATCACCATAAACATTTCTAAAACAATTTAAATGTTTAAAAAGATGATTAAGTTAAAGTTGTTGGGAAGGTAAAGTACCAGGTGAAGGATCCCTGAAGTTTTTTTGTTTTCAGTTTGGAGATTGTTCAAGTCAAGGTTGTTGTTTGTTTCTAGTTATTTGGGCAGCACGTCTCATCCCCAAAATGTCCCCCGGGCGCTTTCAATAGCTGCCCACTGCACCACCTGGTGGTGGATGGGTTAAATGCAGAGACTAATTTCGCCATTGTATGGAAACATACAGGGCTGACATTATTATTATTTTGTATTTTTTAAATTAGGGGCAGATAAGAATTTTTTCTTCTTTCTTCAACTTTTCATTCAATGTTTTTTTTTCTTCTTTCTGATGAATTTCTTTTATTTTAAATGAATAAATGATAAAAAAAAAAACATGCAGCGCTGGGGTTGTTTCAGGGACACATTTCAAACTTTTATTGTGCTTCATCTTGTGACTCATCATATTCTGTCAAGTGGAACATGTTAGATGTTCCAACCGCTAGTTAGAACAACTCTCCGTCACATTTTGCAGCACACTGACTGAAACCTGCAGTTTATCGGATCTTAGAAAGCCAAACCACTTCCAAACCAGAGAATTAGTCTTTCCTCTCTTATCAGTGATGTCACCTGCTTTCTCTTCACTTGTGGAAGCTTGTTCAGTCACATTCTGACGATCATGGGCACTCATTTTGAAGCAAAAACTTAACGCGCGTTGGAGATTAGCCTAGCTTAGCCTGCTACCACTAGCCTTCTGGACATGAGCTCTACGTAACATTACGTCACCACGCACTTAGGTAGTTGTGTCGCACTTTTTTCTGTCCGGTTTGAAACTGAAGTAGCCGCTTCAACCCAAACAGAAAACTCTGTAATCCTATCGAAATATCGAAAATGTGCTTAAAATTCATATCATCGTTATTGAATAAAAGTACATTGCGAGATATATCGATATCGAATTATTGTCCAGCTCTACTTAGAAGCTTACAGTTCATCTGGACTGGATCCTCCAGAGAATCTCAGCACATTCCACCAGAGGGTTTTCATCCTCCACAGCTCTGCATGGAGGGTTGACAGTGGAGGATATTTATATGGCAGCTGTCTGGTCATCGTCATGTTCAATTATTCGTTTTTATCTACGTGATGTTTCTACTTTCTCCATGACCCATTCTGTTCTCAGGGTTCTGACAGAATGATTATTTGTTTCATGGAGCCTCACTTTTGAGCTCACACCTGCCTGCATGCAGTCGCAGTGTGAGATATTTATTATCAGTCACAAGTTCATGACTACTGATTTCATTGTTATTAACCGGTTCATCCCGAGGAGCTGTTGGTCTGCTCTGTTTATCGTTACACTGTTACAGTTCGTATCCTCCACTGTTCCTATTCACAGCAGCAGGTCTGCTATCGCAGCTTTTTTTTCCTCACCAGAGATCTTTTTTTTTATTCCAAGATGGCGCCCGAGCTGGTGGCTTGCCGTTCACCTCTGTCCACTTTGTTTCTTTTTTTGCTATTTTTATCATTTTTCTTCAATAAGATCAGCTCACTACTGGTGTATGATCGCCAGCAACTGCTCAATCTACAATTTTCCACCACTTATCTCGCCTCCTATGAACATTTTGATCGGGGTTCTGGGCCCCCACCTCCACTGCTTGGGAACGTACCTGGGTATCTCCAGCGCGCGGCATTCGTGCCTGCACGAAAACATCGCTCTTGTTGCCGTGGGAGACGTGCTGGCCGCCTCGTGAGGCTCAAAGCTACCCTCGCTCGTTCTTCAGCTACAGCTGTCCACCGGAATGAGGTTTCTCCACCTGGATGCTTCGCGGAGTCCTGCCTGCTGCAGAACATTGGGTCGGAGGCGTGCAGCGAGCGTGCGTGCAGCGAGCGCGCGTGCAGCGAGCGCGCGTGCAGCGAGCGCGCGTGCAGCGAGCGCGCGTGCAGCGAGCGCGCGTGCAGCGAGCGCGCGTGCGCGTGCAGCGAGCGTGCGTGCAGCGAGCGCGCGCCCAGCTGCGGTGTGGTCTCACTGTAATTTATACAGACCGGGGGTGAGGCCCACACATATCAGGTGGGCGTGGACTAAAGTTTTCAGTGCTGCGCTGAGCGCCTAGGGATAAACCCATCAGCGACAGCTCTTAAAGGGCTACGCCTATACTCATAGAATCTGGGGTTACAGTACGTAACAAACGTTTTAGAGCAGGGTGTGTGAGAGCAGAGAGACAGAGATACATCTCAGCTGCGCGCTGTCTGAACCACGCCGGGGGTGGGGGGGTGGGGAGGGAGTCGGCAGGGGGAGAGACAGATGCACATCTGAGCCGTGCGCCGTTTGTACCGACAGTTTTCGAGTGGCGGGGGTGCGTTCAGCGCGAGGGTTCAACATGAAGGAAGAGGCCGCCTTTAGCTTTTTAGTTAGCACACCTGCATTGCGAGCCGCTAGTTTAGCGTTACGTCAGTGCCGACAGGTGGTTGGGGGTGGGCTTCGGTAAACAGGGTGCTCGGTTCTATTGACGGGGCGGGGCACCCCGCTTGTATAATGGTAGGGGAAACACTGAATTATATATTAATTTAAATATTATAATTAATATATAAGCAGCACGGTGGCACAACTGATAGAGCTGCTGCCTCTCAGCGAGCAGGTCCTTGGTTCAAATCCCGGTCCAGGGGCCTTTCTGGGTGGAGTTTGCATGTTCTCTCCGTGCATGCGTGGGTTTTCTCCGGGTGCTCCGGTTTCCTCCCACAGACCAAAAACATGCATGTTAGGTTGATTGGTAACTCTAAATTGTCCCTAGGTGTGAGTGAGAGAGTGAATAGTTGTTTGTCTCGTTTGTCTCCATGTGTCCCTGTGATGGACTGGAGACCTGTCCAGGGTGTACCCCGCCCCTCGCACAGTGATTGCTGGACATGGGCACCAGCAACCCCCATGACCCAAAATGGAAGAAGTGGGTAAAAGATAATGGATGGATGGATGGAATTAATATAATATAATTTTATATATAATTATAATTAATAGAATTCAAATGGAGCTGCAAGCAGCGGGGAAGGAGCGGGTTTGTATTCAGTGACAGAGAGGTGGGGTGGCGTGAAGCCTCAAACTGGGAGGAAAAACTGATGGATTTTCAAGTATAATTATAACTAAGACTATATCGTTTTATATCGATATAGTCTCATTTTATATTGCGTTTAAAATTATCTCAGTATTTTAAAAATATTGAGATATCGCCCAGCCCTACTGCACGTCAGTCTACAAACAACCCTGTAGATCAGTGGTTAGAGCAGTTATCCTCAGACAGGAGTCAGAGGTTTGAATCCTAGCAATATGTCAACGTATCCCTGAAACCATTTAAGTATTTACTACTTATCTTACAACAACCTACAATGTTTTGATTAAACCAGTTTTAAGGACCTTGTTGCCGTATGAAGTTCTTCAGCCCCAGTTTTTGTACAATAGTGAACACAGAGGTCTCAAGTGTCATGCAGATGAAGGGCTGCCATCACTCTGAAAAGTCTACGTGAAAAAGAAAACCACGATTTGTCAATAATGAGAGCATTACTCTAAAAGTGGGCGTCTTACCTTTGGAGTCCTTTGTCTAGATGGTATCCCATCGAGCACAGCAATGGCATCTTTATCCAGTTTCAGAATAGTGTAGCACTCTGCTATTTTGTATTTTACCTCTATTTCTGAAGGCAAACTCTAGAAAAACAAACAAAAACAATGTACTGGGAAATAAATTTCCTAGTCCTAAAACAATGAAGCCTAATAACAAAATCTATGTTGTGAATTTTAGTGACGAATGTTAGAGCATTCAATCTTCTGAATCACACACGCCTGTAAAATTAAAAGCTCCTTTTCCATTCCCATTTCTAAATAAATCTTACTTGGTACTTGATTATACCAATTAAAACTTACATTTACATGAAAATCCTAAACAATTGGAGCATCAAGATTTAGGACTGTGACAACACTTCATTGCACATTAACTGTTAGTAAAAGATGTTTAAACTTGTACATTTTTAACTTTATTTTTCTTATTTCTTCACTTTTGCACAGTTGAGCTATCAGAATACAACTTTGACACTGCAAGTTTGTCATTGCAGAGTAAGTAGGTTGACAAATACAGAAAACGTCAAAAACACAACAAAGTTTAGCACAAATGTGAAGCTCGGACCGTGTCTAAACTAAAGGTGCTCACCTGAGCCTGAATGTTGGATGCTGCTCACCTGAGCCTGAATGTTGGATGCTGCTCACCTG